ATGGCTGGCTTCACTTGGAAGCATGGAGGAAATGATTCTTCTGTGTTGACCCTCCTCTTTCCTAGACTGGACACTGGTTCAAGTCTATCTCGTGGGGTCTCCGTGGCCTCCCTGAACAAGAGGACAGGTGACTCACCACAGTTACAGGACATTTTGAAAGATATCCCATAGTCCCCTGGAACTTAGTTGACCTTGGAGGGCAAGGGGCAAAAACTGTCCTTTAAGTCCCTCTGACCAGATTAGTATAGGCCTCAAAGTATGGCTGTTAGATATCCAATAAGATTAGTTCCACCAGTCTGGTACTTTTAATTACCATGTGCTATGTAGCTAAAGCTTGGGTAAAAAAACCAAATATTCTCAGATAAACCATGATTAGATATATATTTTGTTCCTTAAACTAGTTGAGTAAACTATGACCTTAGAAATTTTTATTATGTGTATAGGGGCTGGAGAGATGGCTCAGAGGTTAAGAACACTGGTTGTTCTTGCAGAAGACCTGGGTTTGAATTCCAGCACCCACATGGAAGCTAACTATCCATAACTCCAGTTCCAGGGGATCTGGGTGGCCTCTTCTGTCTTCAGCGGGCATTGCATGACACGGGTACACTTACCTACGTGCAGGCAATACACTCATTCACATAAAATAAAAATAATCAATAAAATATTAAAAAAAGATTATGTGACAGCTTAGGCTTTCTCATTTTTTCTATTTCTGAAAATGTCTCCATTCCCATACCCTTTTAACATCTTTTACATTCTCATTTTCTTTTTTTTAAATAATTATGAGACATAATAGCATTAACAAATACATTTTCCATGAGAATTCCGACTTCTTTTCCTGGGGATGCTAAGCACTGCTTATTTCCTTTTAAGGTTCTAGTGTTAAGCCAATGTTTGATTAAAGCTTTACTGGGGAACCAATGAATTTACTGAGCTTACTTACAGAGATAACTGAGGGGTTACTGAGGTGTATGTATGACTTGAGGGTATGCACACTGGAAAGCCTTTACCCAGCATGGGTCATGCCTTCTCTTCCTAGCCTTCCCCAGATTGTATACTTTAGCCCTCCAGTTTGGTGACCTTTTTACTACTCTGAAAGTAGTTGGTTTAATATTAAATAGTTCAGGTGGTTGTCATGGTGAGTGGGTTATACCAGATCCTGAGGAGGTAAGAATTGAGTTCTGAGCCTTTGTTTAGAGGTGTGAGGTTCCAGTTGCCTGTGCCCCTGCTTACAAATGTCAGGAGCACAATTCGAATGGCTTCTGGAGTGGCACAAACACATTTACTTGTCAATTTAAACATGGGCTTGCTGTAGTGTGACCCTCTGGTAATACTCTCAGCTGTGGCTCCTGTCCCTCTCTCCCTCCTGCATATCAGGACAAGTGTCTCAGGAGAAGGCTGAGGAGTGGACACTTTCTAGAGCCAGTGGAGTCCTTCCATATAGCGCTGAGCCCCTTAGAGCTATCCTCACATGGAGGACTACAACCTTAGCAGCAGGGTCCCCCAACACTTCTCAACTTCATATTCTTTTTCCCCCTTTATAACCATTGGGGCACTTAGTACTGCCTGTATGTGCATGGGTGTAGGGCTACCTACTGGAGCCTAAGCCACCTATAAGAGGACATGCCCCTGAAGCAAACTGGTTCTTCCTCCCTCAGCATCCATCAGCTGCCAGAGGTCTTGGCTAGGGGTGGGCCTCCTAAAACCCCTGTTCCACCCCCACTGGAATATTGACTGGGTTCATCTTGTGCAGGTCTTCTGCAACCCCCTCCCCCCTTTTGGGGGCAAGGGAGAACAGGGTGTTACCATGTAGCTCTGGTTGATTTGGAACTAGCTATATAGACAAGGTTAGCCTCAAACTCAGATCTGCCTGCCTCTGGGTCCCTAGTGCTGAGATTAAAGGCATGTACCACCGTGCCTGGCTACATTGTTATCCTCTTAATGGAGGCGATAGACTTAACAGAATTTTACAGTATCCTTTTTATTTTTGTTTTCCAGTACTGGCCATTGAGCTCAAGGCCTCATACATGCTAGGCAAACACTTTATTACTGAGCATACCATAAAATCTTTCTAGCCTAGTATCTATCTTTTTAATGAACTTTAAAAAATAGTTTATTTTTAATAATTTTATTGAATTTTTTGGTATTTCATACATAAAATCATCTTTATATCCACTTCCCCTTTCCCCTTTGACACCCTTCCATAGCCCCCCCACTGGAGTTCATACATTCTGTCATTTGTATTAAGGTCTATTATGTAAAGTTAGTGTCCCAAGATGTCCCTCTGTGCAAGTTCATCCACCTGGGTTTAGTCAGCCTATCTAGAGTCTCTCTCTTCACCCAGCAGTAATCTGCTGTCAATGATTCTTCTACTAAGATTGGGGCTTGCTATTTATTTCAGTTCTTTGCTGGTTTTTTGTCTGCCTAATTTGCATGGGCCTTTACATGCTGACACCATTGCTGTAGGTTTGTATGAGAAGGGTCCCAGGCGCCTGTAGGACCATTTCTGTATGGTCATGCACCTCCCCTCTTTCACCTCTTCCACAATGGTCCTTGAGCCCTGGGTGGGTAGATTTTAATATAGGAGGCCTGAGGTTGATGGCAGGAATCTTCAGCTACTGCTTTTCCACCATATTCGTTGAGGCAGGGTCTCTCAGTCAAATCCAGGGATTGCTAATACAGTTAGGCTAGCCAGCTTGCTCAGGGCATCCCCTGTTTTAACCTTTCTAGGCTGGAATTACAGACCAGCCTCTGTGGTCATCTTAGCATTATGGTTTCTGGGGATCCAAACCCTGGTCCTCTTGCTTGCATTTCTTGTATATTTTGTTTTATTCTCATGTGAATTATATATCCTTAGCCTTTATCGGTTTCCTTTGGCAAGGTTTTCATTATTGATTTGGAATGTTCTTCATGAATTGTTCATTATGTCTTTTTTGTTGTCATTGCATTATAGCTCCTCTCAGACCATTGTTACTCTTTTCGTATCTTTAGTGTATTTTTTCACAGTGCTGGAATTTAAACTGTATATACCTGTCTTTTTTCTTATCTGTGTTTTTAATAAGTAGTTGGAGCCTGGTGTGGTGTCATTTCCCACAGTGTTTAGCATTTGGGAGGAAGAGGCCAGAGTGTCCTGCATTCCTGGCCCTTTGGGCTATATATTGAGACCTTGTACCCCCAGAGCAGAAAAACCGTTCTACAATTACTATTTTATCTAACACATATGTGTTTTTCCTTGATATTACAAATTTCATGTAAAAATGGTTTTCCTGGGACTGGAGATATGACTCAGTGGTTAAGAGTGTTCGCTGCCCTTCCAGAGGATTCAGATTTGGTCTATGTAGGGCAGTTCACAGCCACATGTAACACCAGCTCCAGGGGATCTTATGCTTTTCTGCCCCCTGCCTCCCATACCTGCATGCATACATTAACATAAATACAAAGAAATCTTTAAAACTAACTTAGAATATTCTACATCTAACTGGTTTATAAGTAGTTATTGTTATTCTTAAATGATTACTTTGTGTTAAAGCCTTCAGTGTTGCTTCTTTAGAAGAGATCCCTAGGGATGGAAACATTTGGTTAAAGAATGAAAAAATATTTGCTGGATGTTGTGGCACAGGCCTTTAATTACAGAGACAGAGGCAGGTAGGTGGATCTATATAGCAAGTTATGGGCCAGCTGGGGCTATGGGGAAACGCTATCTCAAAAAGATCCCCCCCAAAAAAATGAAAAAAATTTAAGGCTTTTGCTTGCAAGCAGATGGACCCCATTCAAATCATGCTTTCCTTCAACAAGGGGCTAGACATATTGCTTCATACCAGGGTTTCTTTTGGATTCATTCATTCATCCCTTGGTGGGGTCTGCCCCTTGGAAGGCCTAAGTAATAGCTTTTGTTGTCCATACCACTGTTCTCCAGTGACCCGAGTGTGCGTACTTGTGGGCTACCTAACTGTAGTCAGTCTGGGGACCAGGAGTTCCTCTCTAACTAGAACACTTCCTCCTTCTGGGGCAGACCACTGACAATTGCCAGGTGGTTCTTGAGGAAGGATCTTTGCCAAAGCACCTTAGGCACTCTCAGTTAGTGGCAACCTGGTTACCTTAACAGCAGCACTGGCTTGTCAGCCACCTTCCTTGCTGTGGAGGTTGCTGGGATCCCTTGGTTGATGGTTTCTTTGGAATGTTCCATTTCTGATCTTCCCTAGTGGGCTCTGAGACATGGCACACTCCTTTCCATTAAAAAAAAAAAAAAAAGGACTCAGTTCTTACTTCCGCAGGTCATACCCATTGGGAGTTTCATTTAAGAAAGCAAACTTTGCTGCTGTGATGTATGAAAACATAGTTTGGAGCTCTTACAAGAATTATAGAAGTCCTTTTGAAAAAACATTTCTCTACGGCAGAGTGGTGAGTGCTGAAACAGCCTCTCAAAGGAGCATTTCTCCTTAGGTGGTGATCAATGGTGGGGCCACTTCCAGCACTGAGCAGGACAATGAAGACACCGAGCTCATGGCAATCTATACAACGGAGAACGGCATTGCAGAGAAGGTACCTTGTATTCACCCCTCAGTGCTGCTGGATTCTGTGGTGCTGCAGGAGCGGGATGTTTTGGGTCTGGGACTTTGTATCTCCTTCCTGTGGGGGTGGAGATTATTTGTATGTTTGTTTTGTAATGGAATATGAGTCGTAATTACTAGGTTTTAATTGTCTTAAAAGCAGTTAAGGTAAAAAGCTCATAAGGGTCATTACCTGGGTATTTTTCTAAATCCTCAACCAGAAAGGCAGAGAGCAGTGGTTGAGGACTGAAAGGTCTCATGACATATGGCTCATTAAGCATACCTAAGTTAGAAGATGTCTCTGAAACCCAAAACTTTTTAGTGCCAGTGTAACACTCAAAAGTTTTGTTTCTTTCAGTTAAATTTGGGTGTCCATATTTTTCTAACCTTTTTTATTTTGCATCACTATGATGAAATATCTGACACAGACTCCTTTGTGAAGTAAAAAGAGGTCTGTTTTGACTTAGAGGTATGGAAGTGGAAGGTCAGGCAGTCCTAGTGGGCCATGTCAAGGGTGGCTCATGGCGGGCTGGTGCATAAAGTACACACATCTTTACATTTTGGTCCAGGAAGCAGAAAAGGACAAGCAGAGTCTCACAGTCCCCTTCAAGAACACACTCCTAGTGGCTTAAAAGACCTCTCATGACTTAGGTCTTACTTGCATGTATGTATTTGATCCCTTGGAACTGGAAGTAGAGATGGCTCTTAGCTGCCTTTTGGTGCTGAGAACTGAACCTGGACTTCTGCAAGAGCAGCCAGTGCTCTTAACTGCTGAGCCATCTCCAGCCTTTCTGCCCAGGTTCCAGAGGATACCTCACCTTCTTCTGTCTCTGTGGGCACTTAACGCAGATGGTGCTCTTACATACATGTAGACAAAACACTCATATACATAAAATAAAAATAAGAATTAAAAAGAGCTGAGCATCATGTCACACACCTTTATTCCTAGCGCTCGGGAGGCAGAGGCAGCCTGGTCTACATAGCAAGTTCTAGTCCAGTTGGGGCTATAGGGAGACCCTGACTCGAAAAATAAAAAATATTCATAAAAGCCACAGATGAAAGTCTGCAGTGGAAAAAAGCACATAGGCAGTTTCTGGGAGATCGGCTTCCAGTCACTTGTGTGTCTGTACAATCAGAAGGCAGGCAGTGTTTTAAATTTGCAGCAACAAAATGTGATTGCTTTCATGGAGTACTGCCAACCAGGGAAGTTTACCTGAGCATTGGTGTGTAGGGTTTTAATTGAAAATTGGCTTCCTTGATATGCCGGCCACCAGCATATTCCCAGCACCCACACAGCATCTGAAAACCACTTATAACTCCAGGTCCAGGGGGATTTGACCCCCTCTTCTGACCTTTTGGCACTGCATAACAGGTGAACTTACCTACGTGCAGGCAATACACTCATAAACATTTTTTAAAAAAAGCAAGAAATAAATAATAAATAAGAAAAGAAAGGAAATAATAAGAATAAAAAAAGAACAAACCCCATTCTTGCGTGTTGAGATATACTATCTCCCAGGTGTTAGATAAGGTCAGGCAGGGTTTGAAAAGCCTAAAAAAAGCAAGAAATAAATAATAAATAAGAAAAGAAAGGAAATAATAATCAAGAATAAAAAAAGAACAAACCCCATTCTTGCGTGTTGAGATATACTATCTCCCAGGTGTTAGATAAGGTCAGGCAGGGTTTGAACAGCCTAGGCCTACTGAGCGAATCCTTTCCCTTATAGTCTCTTACACATATAGTATACTTTCTCTATCATTTCTACAGTTTTCAAAGGACACATGATATTATTTTAACCCATTCAATAGTGTAAATCTGCCAATATTTATTTTTAGACTAGGAGAAAATGTTCTTTGTGTAACATTTGATTCAAATGTTAGCATGCATCAGACTTTCCCTTTAGGCTGTAGAAGATAAGACAAAATTGTATCACTTTTATGTGTAAAGAATTTCAATCTCTAAACCTGTTCTCCTCACTTTAAGGAAAATTAAGTGACAAGCACATAGAGACAGTATCTTTCTGTGGACCAATGGGCTCAGTGGGGTCAAGAGTCAGATCAGACTATTCAATCTTGTGTGTGTGTGTGTGTGTGTGTGTGTGTAGGTCTGTAGGTCTGTGTGTGTAGCATGTTTTAATTTTGTTTCCTATTACTTTGTTTTCTAGGTTACAAAATACTGGGAGGGAAAGAACATGAATTTCAGATTCTAAGAAATGCAACAAATTATTTGCAGTTTTAGAAACCAGAGTAGTTTTTAGGTGGGTGGGGAAGCACAGAGTTTAGTAGTGCCTTTTGTTCAGCTCAGACACTGAGTAAGTTTAGAAGTGATGTCAAGGCTGACTAGATGGCTAGGCCATCTTGGCCTTCAGATATATATACAACATCTAACACTTAAAATTAAAAAAAAAATTTTTTTAATATGTATGAGTGTTTTGCCTATAAAGTGCATCATGTATATGTCTGGTGCCTGTGGAGACCAGAAGAAGGCATTAGATCCCCTGGAACTGGAGTTAAGGACAAGTGTTAGCTACCAATGGGTGCTGGGAATTGAACCTAGGTCCTATGTAAGAACAGCTAGTGCTCTTAACTATTGAGCCATCTCTCCAGCCCCAACTTTATTTTTGAAAGTATTTTATTTATTATTTTTATTTTATGTGTGTGAGCGTATTGCTTGCACTTGTGTTATGCAGTGTCTGAGGAGGTCAGAGGCGTCAGATCCCCTAGAACTGGAGTTAATGTATGGTTGTTAGCTACCATGTGGGTGTTGGGAACCAAACCCAGGGCCTGTATAAGAACAGTCAGTGCTCTTAACCCCTGAATCATCTCTTTAGCCCCCCCAACTTAATTTTTTAAAGATTAATTATTTTTTACTTTTAATCATGTGTGTATGTGTTTCTGTGTATGGGTATGTGCACATGTGTGCAGGTGCCTGTGGAGGTGAGAGGTGTCAGATCTCCTACAAGATAGAATTACCGACAGTTGGTAAGCCACCCCACATGGTTGCTGGGAATTGAACTCTGGTCCTCTGGAAGAGCAAGAAGTGTTCTCAACTGCTGAGCCATCCATCTCTCTAGCACCAACAGCTACAATTTAAAAACTTTTACTAATAGTGGGGAAGAAAGAGAAATTACCATGTAAACTAAATATATTTTAAAGTCTTTTAAAAACAAAATATGAGTTATTGTGCCTGTATACCTACGAATTTTGCTCTTTTAACTCAATGTTGTCTGAGCAGCAGTGTTTTTCAGGAGGAGACAGACTTTATTTTCAGTTACACAGATCCTTACAGGGTTGGGAAGGAGTGGGGGGCAGATCAGTGATTTGTGTTTGGGTAAATTTCACTGTGGGTCTTCATCTGGGAGCACCTCTGTCTATCCTCGAGGATCTGTATGTAGGCCTGGTCAGAAGCTCTACCAAGTTCAGTGCTCCTGGGGATGAGTTATGTCAAGAAAGACAGAACTCTCAAATTCTGAGCAAGTGTACTTGAGGCTTATACCAGTGCTCAAGGAACAGGCTCCATCTGCTCCATTTGGGTAGTAGAGGGCTGTACTAAACTGAACAGTGTTAACATCATTCTAAATCCCGCTTTTCTCTCCTCACCCCCAGAGTTCTCTTGCAGAGACCCTGGATAGCACTGGGAGTCTGGACCCCCAGAGATCGGATATGATTTACACTATAGAAGATGTCCCTCCCTGGTACTTGTGCATTTTCCTGGGGTTGCAGGTAAGATGATTCCTTCAGGGTATAGCCACCTGGGCTGATACTTCTAATATCTATCAGCTGCATTCTCAAGATGTTCAATTTTGATTTTTGTTTGTTTTTGTTTGATTGTTTGTTTTGATTTTTTGAGACACTGTCTCCCTGTATGTCCAGCTGACCTGGAACTTGCTATATAGACCAGACTGGCTTGAACTTGGAAATCCACCTGCCTCTGCCTCCCAAGTGCTGGGATTGAAGACATGTGTCACCATGCCTGGCTCAGTTTTGATTTAAAATATTTTATTTGTTATTTTCTTATGTGTATGAGTATATTGCCTGCATCTATATAAGTGCACGGAGGTTAGAAGAGGGTGTCAGATCCCCTGGAACTGGAATTATGGAGGGTTGTTATCCAGCATGTGGGTGCTAGTAATTGAACCCAGGTCCTCTACAAGAGCAGTCAATGTTCTTAACCACTGAGCCATCTCTCCAGCCCCTTTAATTTTGATTTTTAATTAAGATTTTATTATAAATTTGCTCTTTGAGAATGGTGAATAGACTTTTTTGAGACAGGGTCTCCCTGTAGCCCCAGCTAGCCTGGAACTCACTATGTAGACCAGGCTGACCTTGAACTCATAGAGATCCGCCTGCCTCTGCCTCCTGAGTGTGTGTGCTACCACACCCAGTCAAAACATCTGACACAGTTCTTTTTTTGGGGGAGGGTCTTGTGAATAGATATTTTAAACATTGATTTCATAATATTAGGAAGAAGAATTGTGAGGAGAAAGAAATTATTCAGGGAACAAGTGGTAGCTAAGGTGAAGGCGGAACAGAGGAAGAAGGACTAGGACTTAACTTTGACCTCCCACCCCAACCTCCTCAGCAGTCCACAGTCATGGCAGACTTGGCCATGGTATGTGGGTGGCCCTGAAAAGTGCATGTTGAGGGGCTAGAGAGTCGGCTCAGCGGTTAAGAGCAGTGACTGTTCTTGCAGAGGACCCGGGTTTGATTCCCAGCACCCACATGGCAGCTATGAACCATCTTTAACTCCAGTTCCAGGGGAATCAAAGCCCTCTTCTGACCTCTGCAGCATTGCATGACACGGGTGTACTCTCACATGCAGGCAATACACTCATACACATAAAATAAAAATAATAAATAAAATGTTAAAAAATAAAAGTGCCTGTTGGCCAGGACATAACTGGAAGGTCTTACCTTTTAAAGGAAGGGAAATTTGCCACTTCTCAGGCCTTGGTCTGCTGTAGCTTCTAGGAGGAAAGGGTGGATGGGCAAAGTCGCTGGCAGACTGGGTACTTGCTTTCATCTCTTCAGTGCCCTTTCGCTGCTTATAGATTAAGGTGGCTCTTTGGAGAAAAGGGATATGCAGGATGCTCTCTTCTTATCGGCACTACCTGGCCTCACAACATGGCTTCCCATGGCTCTGTTTGGCTTGGACCTTTTCTGAGGTCTGAGTTTCCACACTTACTTGCTCAGGTTTGTGCTCTCATGTTTCTCAGATGCTACAAAAATCAGTCTTGTCCAGACAAGTGTTCACTTGGAGCTGGACTGGCTTGGTTCCCACTGGTGTATGGTTGAGTTGCCTTCCCATCCCCATCAGGTATTAGGTGGCAGCCTGGACTGAAGGTGTCTAGTAAAGGAGGAGCTGCAGCTGGAGGAGCAGAGTGGTCGTGGTAAACTTGCTGCATGCTTGTTAAGTCTTTCTTTCCTGATTGATTGATTGATTGATTGATTGATTGATTGATTGATTGATTGGTTTTTTTGAGACAGGGTCTGCCTGTAGCCCCAGCTGGCCTGGAACTCACTATATAGACCAGGCCTAGCCTCAAACTCATAGAGATCCGCTTGCCTCTGCCTCCCAAGTACTTGGATCAAAGGCGTGAGCCACCATGTCTGGCCTTAAGTCTTTCTATTATAGATGTTTCTAGAAGTTTTCCCTAGTCAAATAGAACTGCCTCCTGCTCTCACATAGTACGCAAACTTATGAGCTGCTATAAGTTGTTCTCCACAGGAATGTTCTGTCCTCCCAAGGACACACCTGTACTTTGAGCTGCAGGCAACTGTTTCCAGACTTGGGCAGACATGGAAAGCTGTGGGGAGGAAAATGAGGAAGTTTACTAAACAGAAAGCTTAAACCAGGGGAAAGTGGGAAGGAGGCCCTCAGAGGAAGAGGAGGGTAGTTTTCTCTTTGGAGGATTCTTATAGCCACTGTGCCCTGAACTCTGCCCTGACTGGAACAAATGAGTATTTGCCCAGCAGTGCAAGGTAGAAAACAGCAGAACAAGATAGAAAATACTCTCTGCCATGAAAGCTCTGTATAGCATAATCCCAGACCTGACAGGATTAGAAACAAATGAAAGAAATCCACAGACTAATTATCTTAGAAATGTCAATATAACATCCTTGTACATCAGCTGGGTTTGGCTCATTCCTGTAATCTAGCACTCAAGACTGGAGCAGGGGAATTATGAGTTTTTGAGACCAGCCTGGCACATAGTCAGTTTGAGCATAGCCTGAACTACAAAGTGAGATCCTGTCTTGAAAAATCGCCATGTGTGGTGGTGTAGGCCTTTAGTCCCAGCACTTGGGAAGCAGAGGCAGGTCTGAGTTCAAGGTCAGCCTGGCCTACATAGCAAGTTCCAGGTCAGCTGGGGCTACAGGGAGACCCTGTCTCAAAAGACCTTAAAAAAAGATCAAATGAAGCCCTGGATTTACAATACTGTATGACTAACCTGGGTCTGTTTCCAGATTGCAAGAATGGTTCAGAACAAGGAAGTTCATGTTAACAGGTTAGAGGGGAAAGTAAGAAACAGAAGCTTCTGTTGAGAACTTCCTCTGTGTGGGGTTTGAGCTCATGGTAGTGAAAGTCACAATACAAATGAGTAATATGAAAGAAGACAGTGAAAAATGGATTTGACATATGATAAAAATGTGTAACTTAGGCTGGGCGTGGTGGCGCACACTTTTAGTCCCAGCACTAGGGAAGCAGAGGCAGGTGGATCTCAGTGAGTTCAAGGCCAGCCTGGTCTACATAGTGAGTTCAGCTCAGCTGGGACTATAGGGATACTCTGTCTCAAAAAGACAAAAAAAAAAAAAAGAATGTATAACTTAAAAAAACAGAGATTCTTCATATGTTTTAAAGATACCAGAGGAACAAAGTTAGGGGAAAAAAATCAGGAAAACAAGGGAAGGATATTTCCTCTTTCCCTTGTCCCTCTTTGCAGCACTGCTTGACGTATTTACACGTTCCCTGTCTTCACAGCACTACCTGACTTGCTTTAGTGGCACAATTGCGGTGCCCTTTCTCCTGGCTGATGCTATGTGTGTGGGGTATGACCAGTGGGCCACCAGCCAGCTCATCGGGACCATCTTCTTCTGTGTGGGAATTACAACATTGCTGCAGACAACATTTGGATGCAGGTGAGACTGGAGTACTGTGGGGTGCTGACACCTGAGTAAGGCACTTAGCCAGGCCCTTTCTCCAGGGCTGCTGGATAGACCAGCTGGAGTTAGAGTATATCCTGGGGGCCACTGGTCTCCAGGCTATCCCTACAGGGTAACCCTGGTACCGTGTGTCTTTTCTTGGTGAAAGGAACCACTCCATTGTACAAGCTGGAAACAAAGTCTTTTTCTTCTTGTTCCTGGCCTGCACCTAGCATGCCTCCTGGTGCTCTCCTGTAATTCAGACCTAGTCTTGTCTACCGAGTTCCCGTTTGGCCTCACCTGTACCATGATCTGCTCTCTGACCCATTCTGTTCGCTCCTCAGCCAATGCCATTTTTCTACTCTCCACCCCTTCCCTGGGTTGGCCAGGCTGCAGCCCCACTCCTTGCTGTAAACCAGTGTCCTGGTATCCACCGTGTTCCTTGCTCTCTGCCTTGTCCATGTTGCCAGCTGAGCCTCTGAGCCCTGCCTCTCTCTGTCCCTGCATGTCCCACTGTCTCACCTTCCTGTGGGGTTTGCTCTCCACTCACGCAGCACACCTGGATCCCACTTGTTCTTCCTTCCTGTGACTCCTGAAAGCCTCTGTTTTCCCTCAATTTCCACACATGTTCCTTTGTGTTCATTCTTTGTGTACCTCATTTTTCTGTCCCCCACTATCTTATGTCTTTTTTGGTATTTTTGAGACTGTTTCTCTGTAACCCCAGCTGGCCTGGAACTTGCCATGTGGACCAAGCTAGCCTCAAACTCACAGAGATTTGCCTGCCTCTGCCTCCCTACTGAGATTAAAGGCATGGGCCACCATGCCTGGCCTTATGTCTTTCTTGATGCTAGCCCTTTGGCTTGTTCGCTTTTTCACCTGTAGCTCTGCTCCCAGGGTGTGGAGCTGGGCCTGGAAGGACTGGAAGCAAACTTTCCTAGTTCTCCTGTAAGCTTGTCTTCTCTTTCCCCTCTCTGGCCCTTTTCACAGCACAGCCTCTTACTTGCCCAGGCTCTGCTTGCCCTTCCCTACTGGGAAGTGGCAGCGAGAGGGACACCATGCAGATGGCAGCTTGGAAGTTGTGACCTGCATTCTGGTTTCCTAGACTCCTTAAGACCCTCGAGGGCTGTCTGCACTAGGGGACAGTGAGCAGTGCTGGTGTGTCCGGTTGCAGTGGGAAGGGGAATGGCGGCTTCCTCGAAGGTCTACTAGTGGAGAGAAGCTGTTTGCACTAGAAGCTCTTGGAGCTCTCAGATACTTCTAGACAACCTGTAGCCACTGTTCTGAGCAAAAAGGGGTTCTCATCAGGGGCCCAGGGGAGAGGAGTGGGGGTGTTTGCTGCGGAAGGGGATGAGCCCAGGCCTTCCCTGAAGCATTCGTGGCAGGCAGTTAAATACAACAGTAGTGTCGGGTTTTTGTTTTTTTTCATTGTTGTTGTTTTTAAGTGATATTCAGGGCTCTGTGTGGCAAGTCCAGAGTGGACAGACAAGCTTTTGTTGGCTGATTTGAACCTTTCCTTGTACACAGGGCACTGTGCTCTGGGAAATAGAAAGTTTCCGTAAACTCTCCCTAAACAGCTGTCTTACCTATCCCTTGGGATCAGTTGGCTGCCCTGAAGAGGGGATGGAAGCACTTTTTATTGCAGCAGTATCTGCCATGTAAGCTGCATCCCCATGTCATGCCAAAGGCCAGGCCTGGTAACCACTGAGCCTAGTGGGCAGATTTGTCTAAGATGGCACAGTAGGACCTGGTGACTTGGGAAGTACTTTTGGTCCCAAGAGGGCACCTTCTTGTTCATTGTTAGGGCATAAGACCCACATTAAACAATGTGAATCAGTGCGGTTCATCTCCGCTCTCCTCTGAAAGAACAGTAAGCTGAGAAAGAACTAGAGTGGGTTCTGACACCTGCTGGCTTAGAGACTAGAAATAAGGAGCTGCATCTGTGGGCATGGGATGTCCATGCGGTGTGCCCATGAGGCTTGACAGTGTCCGCTATGGTGTTTAGAGCAGCAGGTACCTCCTCACTGTATGTGGCCATGTGCTTGGCTGTAGATCAGGAGGTCAGCATTATATCTAATCACTGGGCAGTGAGTGCAGACTGTCCAGAAGGAAGGGTGCTCTGGAATCATGCTGAACTTGGGACACGGGATTTCTATGACTGTTGAGGTATGGGAAAAGAAGACTACTACCTCAGTCCCGCAGATTGCTAGTGATTTGTTTGTGTAGTAGGTGCCTGTGACTCAGGGTGGCAAACATGCATAAAAGCACGTGTGGGGTTCAGACCCCATAATAATATACAGTATAGGGCCATCAGCGAGACAAGGACACCCTGCCTAGGACTTGATAGGGAGACAAGGAGGTGCTATAGAGACCAGTCCTGGAGACGGAAATTTTACTCAGTAGGATGAGAGAATATCTTCTACCCTGACAGACGCGGGTGCAAAGGCAGGAAATGACAACCCAGCACAAGATTCTGCTCATCAGACCTAGGCTGGGACTTGGCAGGGTACTGAGACCCTGTGTTGGCCTCTAGTAGGGGCTCCAACAGCTATAACTGAGCTTTGAAGACTTAGCGTGCAATGTGTAACAAAAGAGAAGTAGTGGGACATACGGTCTCAGCCTTAGTGCCTCCGGCAGGTGACTGTCCACTGTTGTTGCCTCTGGGAAAGTGAGGCAGTTTTGCCTACAGTGTCCTGTGGACAGCATTTTGCTATTGCTTTGATCATCTGTTGTGTTTTTGCAGATTATTTTGGGTAGCTGTAGGGTGTAGCTAAGGTGGACATCCCTTTAGGCTCTGCTACATTGTAACATGGACCACCGTCAGGTGCTGTGAGTTATCATCTTAATACCCATTTTTTAATTTCCTGCTTGAAACAGGATCAAGTCGATAAACATAAAGCAATTAGCACAAAGGAGATACAAGGGTGAACAATATGAGAGGGAGATGGGGTAATCCAGGAGCTGGGCTGCTCTGGGTATCACAGCTGGAGGATTACAGGTGGCCTGCAGTTGGTTCATCAGTCATTTCCTCAAATTTAGTGTAGCAGAGGGAGAGGTTTTTAATGTTCAATTATTATAGTTTCTAGACAGATTCTCAGAATTTTCCAATGCTGACATGGTTCTCTGTGTTGTGTCACAAGTTCCATGTGTATGTATATCTGCCTGCCACTTGATGCCATACCTTCATCACATTGGGCCTCTCAGGTTTGTGGGCCCTGAGGACAAACTATGGGCCCTGCCTCTAAGTGATGGGCCTTTTATTATGAGCAAGTTACTTAGGGAAGGGATGGGGGCTTGTGGTCAGGTTCAACCCCCTCGCTGCCTTGGAAACCTATTTTGTTCAATAAAGATAGCCAGAATTTCCAGGTATGGTGACACACACCTTTCATCCCAGCACTTAGAAGAGAGAGGCAGATCTCTGAGTTTGAGGCTAGCCAGGGTTGCATAATGAGACCCTGTCTCAAAAAAAAAAAAAGATAAATAGCTAGAGTTGTTGGGGAAACCATGATGATGCAACAGATGTGTGCCTTTGCAGACCTAACCCTAAATCCTGGGAGCCAAGCTGAGATGCCACAGTGCAGTGGCTCCTCAGGGTGCATGCTGTCCCAGAGCTTGACCCACTACAGGGCTGTGGGAATGTGTGACACAGTACCTGCTACTTGCCCTCCCCCCCCTGCTTTGCTGCCTGCTTTCCTGCCGGACCGTCTTTTTTTTTTTTGCAGTGGAAGTCGTGTCAGCCTCACTTACGGGACTTCAGTGGCTTTTTCTCCCCAAACATGTGCCTGTGAGGCAAGGCAGTTTCCAGGGTGGCTGCCTCCTCCTCTTCTCTCTGGCTTCCTGCACTGGCTTTTCTCTCTTTAATCTTGTCCTTTCACTTTGCTTTCAATATCTTTATTGCATGCTCCCTTGATGGAGGTTTTAACAGTTTTCATTCTGGTTGATTTATGATGTCAATTTCACTTGGGCTTTTTCTAAGAATTGGTACCAAACCTTTTAAAACCTCCTGAGAGATCAGCACAAGGTTATTTAGAGACCTCCTAACCCAGAGTCGGCCAACCTGCAGTAGTCATGTACTGATGCATGCAGTTCTGCACAGACATCCTGAGTCTGTGTGGAGGAAGGCTTTCTGAAACCCTGTTCATGCCTTGACTCACTGACTTTCTTACAGATGTGACTAGAGGAGAACCCCGCAGCTATTATAGGACTCCTCCAGCCTGGTCTAGGCACCTTGCTCACTGTTATCTTCAGTATAAAAAAAGAATGGCAGTGGGGACACCCAAAGGGGCCCCTCCCAGCCACATGTAAATCTACTTAGGCACACTGTGTATTCTTTTGCTGAGAGAAGAGAGCCAGTGAAACCAGTTCGAAGATCTGATCTTACTCTCTCTTTTTTTTTTTTTTTGGTCTTTTTGAGACAGGGTCTCCTTGTAGCCCCAGCTGGCCTGGAACTCACTATGTAGACACGGCTAATCTTGAACTCACAGAGATCTACCTGCCTCTGCCTCCCGAGTGCTGGGACTAAAGGTGTGAGCCACCACGCCTGGCCCGGATCTGGTCTCTTTAACCACTGTCCCTAGAAGTGAGTTCCCTGCTTTCTGTCTTACCAGCTTGTGGCCTGTGGGGGTGCTTGCATGTGCTAGGCTCACCAAATCCAGGATACTATCTACATCTTACATCTGGGGACTTTGAGCCCATAAAGCTCAAGTGTTGGAGTATATAGTGGTTAGACTAGAGAAGTTGAGTTTGGTATGGTCCCCATATTTCTCCATCTCGGTATTTCAGTAGGGTCTTTATGTTTGTTTTTGTTGGAAATAAAGTTTCAGATAACAAGATGTCCCAACCCTAAATACTGTCCTAGGAATGAGGGCCTCTCATTATATAACCATAATGCTGTTGTCAACTTGAAAAAAATGAACAGTTATTCTATCATGTACAGTCCACATTTAATTTCCCCGGTTCTCCCTTAAATATGTTTTGTGGCCGCTCCCTCTGCCTCCGAA